TGGCTTTCGTAATATTTCTGTTTACTGGGTTTCAGGCCATGCGGTGGTTGTAGGTATATTGCGGGCATTTCTTTGAAATTTTCTCCCTTTCCTTTTTTATCACCTCACTGTGAGTCTCAGTTCTGTAGTCGTCATACTCCTTGGCCCAGTCCATCACCTGCTTATTTAAACTGAAAGTTGAAGGGAAACTTGCCGAAATCCTCTGCGTTGCTTGTTGCCTTCGCTTGTGTCTTTCCTTTTCCTTTGCCTTTCGATTTGTTTCTTGTCCTTGTGCATAGCTGGTGATAAACTGGGACTGGAAGGCCTCGACAACGAGCTGAAAGTCCATGCTATGGTCTATATGTGTACTTTGGCCATGCCCTTCCACGTTGTAGGTGAACCAAATCAAGTAGCTGCCTTTGTTCTTGATGGGGTTTTCAGGCCAAATTGGGGCGAATTCCTTTCGTTCAAACACATTCTGTGAGCACTGTCATTGCCGTTCGCATGGGGATGCCCTTGAGTCTGTCCCAGATTGGGATCTGCGGCTTGAAGAACAACGTGCCATTGCTTTCGTTGTTGAGTTCTGATCTTTCTCCCAAGGTCTGATTCTCCTCTGTGGTCCACCATTCGGGGATGCCTTTCGGGAACTTCTCCTTTTGCCAATCCATCAGCTTCTTTCTAAGCCAAGGCTGTGCCAGTTTCACATGTGTCTGCGGCGAAATCTGGCCTGGGCGAATCTGGTGGGAGTATTCTCTTTCTGCTGGCCAAAACCTTTTGCTGATTCCAGCCTCTTTGAGACACCATTCGATGATCTTCTCGCGGTGCTCATATTCATCTTATTCCCGTGTGATTTTCTTGTATTTGACCCCGCTGCATGCGAAATACAATTGTCTTTTGCAGCTGGACATCGTAAATCGTAATGGAGTGGCTGCATCAAGGCTGCGATAGTGACTTGTCAGCAGATTTTCTCAATGTTGGGGCTGTTGATTTTCCTTTGAAAAATCCCTTTAAAAAGCGCTTCAAAATCGTTGTTTTTTCGCTTTGGCGCCGGGATCCGGTTTTGGAGCTGCAATTTCTGTTGTCATTATGTACCAGAAAGCTTCTCTGTTGTCATTATGCACCTTGAAGGTAAGATCTTGGCTGGTGCTTGTTAGCATCTGTTTGCTTGAGATCAACCCAAGGTTCCCTTTCTTTGGGTTCATCAGCCAGGGCCTTGCCTGGCTTGCTCTTGCCTTTTCCAAGGCATGAGGCAAGCTTTTTGGCAGGTTTTGCCTTAGTCTTGGGCTTTGGCTTTTCCAAACCATAGCCCATGGCTGCATGCAACCTGCTACCTGCTCTCCTCAGGCACATCACCTGGGAGGAAGATGCAGTTCTGGCTTTCTTGAAGGGGCTGTTGAACATCCCAGGGAAGCCTTCAGAGTCCAAGCTCACATCACTGATTCTGGGAGCCAGCTTTCTTTTACCATTTCCAAGGGCCTCCTTGCCAACTTTTCCAAGCTTCCTTGCATTTTTGCAGGCTTGGCTTTTCCAAGCTTGGCCTTGGCAGATGCTGGTGCTTTTCCAAGCACATGGGCCTTTTTTTGAGGTGATGCTTTTCCAAGCTCACTTGTGGCTGCTTTGCTTTAGCAGAAGGTGCTTTTCCAAGCTCCCCTTTTGCTGCTGTCACTGGCACCAGGGCCAGCTCTGTTTTGTTAGGCATTTTGAACTTTTTCCAAGCCCACCAGCAATTCATGGCACTGGTCCCTGGTGAGCTTGGCAGCCACAGGCATGAGAGATTTGCTGTCCCTACCAAGTTTCCTGACATGTGCCAGGAGGCAGTTCAGCCTCTCCACCTTCAAATTGGCCCATACCAGCCCAGTATGTTTCCCCAGGTTCATATCTGGGTTCTCTGCCAACAAAGACAGAAGAGCCTGTCTTAGTGGCTGGCTGTGGATCAAGCCACTTGGCTCTAGATCCAACAACCCTGTCCATAGCTTCCTGGTGGCATGCAAAGCCTTAGCATTGGGCCCAGAGCTGGAGCACATATGCTCATAGGCCCCCAGGTCAGCCAGGATATCCTTGCGCTTTTCCAAGCACTTAAAAGCCAAGGCAACATCCACCAGAGGTTTGGTTTCATGTCTGGGCCCTCCCCTGGACATTGGCCTGGCTTTTTCCAAAGCTTATGGGCTTTTTCCAAGCTTTGGACCTTTTCCAAGACTTGGACCTTTTCCAAGACCTGGGCCTTGACTTTTGCAAGGTTCCAAAACTAAGCGACAAAAGCAAACTTAGAGCCAAAACCGCATGTATGGGTGGTGGACATGTCAACCATGCAGACATGAAGCAGCCAAGGAGAGATCCAGATAGGTCAGAAAAGGTAAGGAGAGAAATCAATAATTTAAATCAAGATAAAGAAATGAAATCAAGAAAAATATCAAGATGAAAATCAAGAAAAATATCAAGATAGAATCAAGAAAAAAACGTGATTTTGGAGTGCCAAAAAAAAATCAATATCTCAGAGCATCAAAATATTGATTCTAATCAATATGCGATGCTCAGGGTCATGTGTGCCCCCACCATCGCCCTTGCCGCGGCCATTGGCCCGTCCTTTGCCTCTGCCCCGGCCCTTGCTTCTGCCAGTGGCCTTTGGTGCAACCATCGGCTTGGCCTTGGGCTTCGCCTTTGCACGGCCTTTGGCTTTGGCCTTGGCCTTCGTCTTGGGTGAGGTCGATGTTCCAGCTGGAGCTGGGGCAGAAGGTGCCTTCTTTGCAGCCGGCCTCTTGAGGGCTGCAGTCGGCCTCTTGAGGCGCTTCTGGTCCACGTCATCCGTGCTCTCTTCAACGACAGGGGCAGTTGATGGAGCATCTCCATGAACTCATTCTCCTCCTGCGAAGAGTTGAACACCTGGGCCTGCTCCTCATGGTCATCTGCCGCTTCTGGCGGGCGGTAGCCAGCAACCCGGTCCCAGAAATCTCCCCTGAGGCCATGATGGCGACCAGGACAGGTCTTAGGCTTAATCTTCAGTCAATGTCAATCGTCAATGACAGGCGCTACGAGTGTCATGTCAATCAAGGTCGTCGTGTGAATGTCCAAACGACTCTGCAGTTGAATCAGAAGTTCTGACAGACAAATCAAATTATAGAGGAGCGACTTCAAAGAGAATGACGACCGACCAATCCAAAGTCCGCAAAGCTTCCAAGTGGTGGTCCTCGGCCACGGTGGCACTGACTGGGCAGCATTGAAATTGATCTTGACAAGGGAAAGTGAACGTGCCTTTACTTTAATCAAGTCAGTCAGTAGTCAGTCTCATATTCATGTCAGTCTTTCAAGACATGCTGTCAATGACAGGTGATCTGACTGACACCGCCAAGGTACTGAAATTGACACCTGCAACCAAGTCAACCAAGTTACGACTAAAGTCTACTAAGCTACCGTGGGAGGATTTTTACACACAACATATATATTTGGGTGTCAATGACAAAAAATGAATGCAAAAATAGTGAATTTGACTCGCGGGTGCAGGGGGTCGGCTACACCCCTTCCCCTGCAAGTCAGCGTCACCGCTGAGTCGCAGGTGCATGTGTAAACCAGGCATTTTAACTCGCAGGTGTAATGTGCTTTTTCACCTTGCGCCTGCAAGTGAAAAAGCATAGGTTACCCCCTGCCACTGCAAGTCAGCGGTGCTGCTGAGTTGCAGGTGGACAGTGTCATTTACCCCCTGCCACTGCAAGTCGGACAAATGTGTCAAAGGTCTATATTTTTTTTCTTACGAGTGACTTCCTGGCTACAGTTGCAGCATGTTGCTCCCCAGCAAGTCAGCGACGCTGCGGACTCGCAGAGGCAGAGCAGCTTGCAAGTCAGCGGCACTGCGGACTCGCAGAAGGCCTGCAAGACAGCGACACTGCGGGCTCGCAGAGGCATAATTTGACATAGTGCTGACTGAGGTCTAATTTTAAAAGTGAATCTGAGACTGACAATTTAAATTTCAACGTCCTCCTCCAATGCAGGGTGATGAGAAGCCAGCCTGGCATGAAATGAAATTGACGGCAGTGCACAAGTCCATGTTTTAATTCAGTGACAAACTGACCGGTTAAATAAATGATGGTTGCTCTTTTTCACCGCTCGTCTCCCCGAGAACGATGCTCAGTGAAATCGTCCTTCATCACCAGTCATTGACCCGGGGCACAACCTTCCAGGCGAAAAATGACCGGCTATCGAAGGCAGCCCGCACAGGGCGAAAGGCTTTGGACGTCAATGTCCGAGTGGAAACCAAAGCGACGAAGTTGCTCTTGGATTTGGAACTTCCCAGTTTCTCTCGCCACTCACTTTCATCCTCCTGAATTAGCATCAAGGACAAGTGAAAAAAACTGACAAATTAAGTTTAAAAACCCTGACAAATTTGAAGTGAATCCGGTCAAGGACCATGCCATGACATGTGAAAAGCTGTGACAAGTAAGTATAAATAGTTAAGCTACAGGACCATCCATGAAACACATATTTGCAAGCAAGGGTCCCACAGCACCGAGCCACCTTCCAAATGGAGCCGCAGTAGTTCCACAAGTCCTGGATGCAGCTTGCTGAACTCCGACGTGATCAGCAAATGCCTTTTCTTGGCCTAAGTAGACAAAGTCAGGACATGACTCCCCAGTGAGTCGTCCAGTTGCCAACTCAATAGTAAACATTGATGAATGCAGTCAGAAGACAACTTTCTGGATCGCCTCAATGGCTTTCTTTTCTGATGCATTTTGTGGTCCAGTTGGAGCCCGTTTTCTCTTGCAATCCCTGGCCACCAACTTGTCCACATCCAAACGCCTCCGTTTGATCCAGGCAGCCTCACTCGTGCTGTTGACCAAAGCCGCCTGGGATTGCCGTGACATTGCCAATGCCGACCGGCACTACTCACTACCGTCACTGACACTGTCATTGACATCAACCAGCATCACTCACTTGGCTAGGGATGACATTAACGACAAGGGGCCTGTCTCTTGCGCCGGAGCTTGATCCCAGAGACAAAGTTTCCGCTTCGCATCTCACCACTTTTGCACTCAGGCAAAAAAACCATGGCTCCAAATTTCACGTGCTCGTCGAATCACCTCGTCCTTCAAGCCTGGCTCACTTTGCAGCATGGAATGGATTCTCAACTGGATCTCCTTCAAGAGGGGGCTTGCAGCCCGCTTTTGGAATGCCAGCAGCAGATGCGAGAAGTCGCGCTCCCAAGGACTGGTTGTTGTCATCGCCAAGCACCAAGCTCTTGCAACTGTTTTCTGCAGGTCAGTGCAAATGCGTCCCTGTCGTGTCCGCAAAGTTTCCAACCATGCCTTCAAGTCAGCCAAGGGCTCTGTGTCCACAATCGGAGTTCCTGAGCTGAGATTGCCATGATCATGCCATGGTCGGTTGCAGAGTTTAACGTCAATGACAAGTTTTTAAAACTTAAATTAAATATTAACCATTGACGATTCAATATTCAGTATGTCACCGCCGCACACCCACAAAGTTATTGGTTGGTCAATTGCCTCACCATTACACTGTGTAGCAGTGCGCAGTCAATGACCTTTGTTTAATGTCGATCTACCAGAGCGCCTGAACACTGACACTTACCATCATAAGAACCTCAGGTGTGGCCACACAATTTGGGGTAACTGAGTCAAACGAATAACGTTTCTTCGAAGCCGTGTGCTCGCATTCGATGAAGTTCTGGATGAGGTTCTGGAGGGAATCCTTCTCATCAAAGATTGTGCAAATCCTTTTCAAGTCCTTCCGGATTTCAGCTGGGGCCAACCGGGGCTTGAGCTGGAAGACTGAGAAGGCACGGACAGCTTCGAAGGTGGGCCATTCGCAGTGCAAAGCCTCTGTCGCTATCTTCACCCATCCGGTCGTAGCAGTCATTGATGATCTGCGGGGTGACATCGTTGCCAATCGAGCGAAAGGCACCTTTGGCCGATCCTCGAAAGACCACCTCCCGCTTCAGCATTTGCAATGCCTTAGATTGGACTTTCAATGAAATCATTGGCTGTCTGCTGATTGTCACTGACTGTCAATGACTGGTCAATTTGCCATCTATTTTCTGCCAAGTCACAAAGTGCGTATACCCTTGCACCGAATCCGCTTTGCAGTTCACAAAGAGGCTGGTGATTCTGGAGACGCATCCATCCAGGGCAGCACGAAGTTGGTCCACATCGACCGTGCTGGCATCACAGAATCTGATCCTTTGTTTTCAGTCTGGACAGCAGTTATATGTCACAATTGGACTGACAGTGATACTGACATGATGACATGGTTTGATGTCAGTAACGGGTCACTTGATACCTCAGAATGAGGGCTCTGTGACTGTTTGTACGGACCACGCTTGACTTGAGTTGACACTGTTTTGGCATTGGCATAATACCTTCTGAACAAATTCCAGATATTTGCAGGTCCCAGGCACACAGACAGTGACAGGTTCCTTCATTGGTCATTGACATTCAAAACAAAAAAATCTTTCAACTGTGCAGCTTTGGTCTACACTGAAGGAATGACGACAATGACATTGTTCCTCCATGCTGGTCAGGGACCGGTCAATCATGAAAGCCACCATAACCAGGGCGAGTTCTGAGCACATGAATGGTACTGACACTACCAGGCAAACATGCAAATAAATGGTCATTGACGACAGTGACAGACATAAGATAAATCATTCTCGATGACATTCGGAATGGAACATCTTGAATTCTGAGGTGTTGACGTGAAACGAAGTCTCCCACGGCATGTTCATCCATGATCCTGTCAACGATCTCTGGTGGTAGGGAAACACTGCAAACAAAACCACAAAATGCGAGCAACAGAATAACACAATCCTGCAGGATGTTTGGGTCCCCGTGGCACTGAAAACTGCAAATGGCTTATATGGACACATGGACATATACTCAGTCAGAAAAATTAAATTATACTGAATTAATGAAAGGGTACTAAACGTGAATGACCCTTCAGGTTTGTCAGTGACATCTCGCTCAGGTTTGTACCCTTTGTTATTTCAGGTTCTCACTTTTTGTGATCATTGACATCTCACTTAGTGATTGTCAATCCCATCTCAGGCTTTATACACGTCATGTTCGGGTATGTCCTGTGTTGGACAATGCTTTACTAAGTAAAATCCGCCGACCCCGGCCTTAGCCTTAGCCAGGCCGGGGCGGCGCCTGGGACCACCTTGGGTGTGCAACTTTGGCCGCAGGCAAGCCTTACGTCCAGCAGCAGCCAGGGCCACAGCCCCTTCAATTCAACAAGGCAAGCCTTACGTCCAGCAGCAGCCAGGGCTACAGCCCCTTCAATTCAACAAATTCCAGCGGCTGGTAGCCGTCTTCAAGCCTACCGTTTGCCCGCCCTTAAAGCTTCTAAAATTCTAAACCTTCTAAACCCTCCCAGCCGCAGCCAGGACAGGCCACGTCCAACTGTTTTTAAGGGTGTTCAAGGCTGCCGTTTGCCCGGCTCTACACCCCTTAAACCCGCCAAACCCTCCGCAGGGCCGCCCAGGCAAGCCTTACGTCCAGCAGCAGCCAGGGCCACAGCCCCTTCAATTCAACAAATTCCAGCGGTCGGCACGCCCAACTGTTTTTCAGAGTCTTAAGGCTACCGTTTTCCCGCCCTTAAAGCTTCTAAACCCCAGCCGCAGCCAGGACAGGCCGCGTCCAACTGTTTTTAAGGGTGTTCAAGGCTGCCGTTTGCCTGGCCTTAATCCCCTTAAACGCTCCAAACCCTTTGCAGGGCCCCGCGGGCAAGCCTTACGTCCAGCAGCAGCCAGGGCCACAGCTCCTTCAATTCAACAATTAAATTCCAGCGGTTGGCACGCCCAACTGTTTTTCAGAGTCTTCAAGGCTACCGTTTGCCCGCCCTTAAAGCTTCTAAACCCTCTAAACCCTCCCAGCCGCAGCCAGGACAGGCCACGTCCAACTGTTTTTAAGGGTGTTCAAGGCTGCCGTTTGCCCGGCCTTAAACCCCTTAAACGCTCCAAACGCTTTGCAGGGCTCCGCAGGCAAGCCGTACGTCCAGCAGCAGCCAGTGCCACAACCCCTTCAATTCAACAAATTCCAGCGGTTGGTAGCCCACCTGTTTTTCAGCGTCTTCAAGCCTACCGCTTGCCCGCCTCAAAGCTTCTAAACCCTCTAAACCCTCCCAGCCGCAGCCAGGACAGGCCACGTCCAACTGTTTTTAAGGGTGTTCAAGGCTGCCGTTTGCCCGGCCTTAAACCCCTTAAACGCTCCAAACCCTTTGCAGGGCCCCGCAGGCAAGCCTTACGTCCAGCAGCAGCCAGGGCCACAGCCCCTTCAATTCAACAATTAAATTCCAGCGGTTGGCACGCCCAACTGTTTTTCAGAGTCTTCAAGCCTACCGTTTGCCCGCCCTTAAAGCTTCTAAACCCTCTAAACCCTCCCAGCCGCAGCCAGGACAGGCCACGTCCAACTGTTTTAAGGGTGTTCAAGGCTGCCGTTTGCCCGGCCTTAAACCCCTTAAACGCTCCAAACGCTTTGCAGGGCTCCGCAGGCAAGCCGTACGTCCAGCAGCAGCCAGTGCCACAACACCTTCAATTCAACAAATTCCAGCGGTTGGCACGCCCACCTGTTTTTCAGAGTCTTCAAGGCTACCGTTTGCCCGCCCTTAAAGCTTCTAAACCCTCTAAACCCTCCCAGCCGCAGCCAGGACAGGCCACTAAGGGTGTTCAAGGCTGCCGTTTGCCCGGCCTTAAACCCCTTAAACGCTCCAAACGCTTTGCAGGGCTCCGCAGGCAAGCCGTACGTCCAGCAGCAGCCAGTGCCACAACCCCTTCAATTCAACAAATTCCAGCGGTTGGTAGCCCACCGTTTGCCCGCCCTTAAAGCTTCTAAACCCTCTAAACCCTCCCAGCCGCAGCCAGGACAGGCCACACCCAACTGTTTTTAAGGGTGTTCAAGGCTGCCGTTTGCCCGGCCTTAAACCCCTTAAACGCTCCAAACGCTTTGCAGGGCTCCGCAGGCAAGCCGTACGTCCAGCAGCAGCCAGTGCCACAACCCCTTCAATTCAACAAATTCCAGCGGTTGGTAGCCCACCTGTTTTTCAGAGTCTTCAAGGCTACCGTTTGCCCGCCCTTAAAGCTTCTAAACCTCTAAACCCTCTAAACCCTCTAAACCCTCCCAGCCGCAGCCAGGACAGCCCACGTCCAACCGTTTTTAAGGTGTTCAAGGCTGCCGTTGCCCGGCCTTGAAACCCCTTAACCGCTCCAAACCCTTTGCAGGGCCCCGCAGGCAAGCCGTACGTCCAGCAGCAGCCAGTGCCACAACAACCCCTTCAATTCAACAAATTCCAGCCGTTGGCACGCCCATGTGTTTTTCAGAGTCTTCAAGGCTACCGTTTGCCCGCCCTTAAAGCTTCTAAACCCTCTAAACCCTCCCAGCCGCAGCCAGGACAGGCCACGTCCAACTGTTTTTAAGGGTGTTCAAGGCTGCCGCTTGCCCGGCCTTAAACTAACGCTCAAAACGCTTTGCAGGGCCCCGCATGCAAGCCGGTACGTCCAGCAGCACCGAGTGCCACAACCCACGTCCAACTGTTTTTAAGGGTGTTCAAGGCTGCCGTTTGCCCGGCCTTAAACCCCTTAAACGCTCCAAACCCTTTGCAGGGCCCCGCAGGCAAGCCTTACGTCCAGCAGCAGCCAGGGCCACAGCCCCTTCAATTCAACAAATTCCAGCGGTTGGCACGCCCACCTGTTTTTCAGAGTCTTCAAGGCTACCGTTTGCCCGCCCTTAAAGCTTCTAAACCCTCTAAACCCTCCCAGCCGCAGCCAGGACAGGCCACGTCCAACTGTTTTTAAGGGTGTTCAAGGCTGCCGTTTGCCCGGCCTTAAACCCCTGAAACGCTCCAAACGCTTTGCAGGGCCCCGCAGGCAAGCCGTACGTCCAGCAGCAGCCAGTGCCACAACCCCTTCAATTCAACAAATTCCAGCGGTTGGTAGCCCACCTGTTTTTCAGCGTCTTCAAGCCTACCGTTTGCCCGCCTCAAAGCTTCTAAACCCACGTCCAACTGTTTTTAAGGGTGTTCAAGGCTGCCGTTTGCCCGGCCTTAAACCCCTTAAACGCTCCAAACGCTTTGCAGGGCCCCACGGGCAATCCTTACGTCCAGCAGCAGCCAGGGCCACAGCCCCTTCAATTCAACAATTAAATTCCAGTGGTTGGTAGCCCACCTGTTTTTCAGCGTCTTCAAGCCTACCGTTTGCCCGCCCTTAAAGCTTCTAAACCCTCTAAACCCTCCCAGCCGCTGTTCAAGGCTGCCGTTTGCCCGGCCTTAAACCCCTTAAACGCTCCAAACGCTTTGCAGGGCTCCGCAGGCAAGCCGTACGTCCAGCAGCAGCCAGGGCCACCACCGCCTTTAATTCAACAAATTCCAGCGGTTGGTAGCCCACCTGTTTTTCAGCGTCTTCAAGCCTACCGTTTGCCCGCCTAAAAGCTTCTAAACCCTCTGAACCCTCCCAGCCGCAGCCAGGACAGGCCACGTCCAACTGTTTTTAAGGGTGTTCAAGGCTGCCGTTTGCCCGGCTTTAAACCCCTTAAACGCTCCAAGCCCTTTGCAGGGCCCCGCAGGCAAGCCTTACGTCCAGCAGCAGCCAGGGCCACAGCCCCTTCAATTCAACAAATTCCAGCGGTTGGCACGCCCAACTGTTTTTCAGCGTCTTCAAGCCTACCGTTTGCCCGCCCTTAAAGCTTCTAAACCCTCTAAACCCTCGCAGCCGCAGCCAGGACAGGCCACGTCCAACTGTTTTTAAGGGTGTTCAAGGCTGCCGTTTGCCCGGCCTTAAACCCCTTAAACGCTCCAAACGCTTTGCAGGGCTCCACAGGCAAGCCGTACGTCCAGCAGCAGCCAGTGCCACAACCCCTTCAATTCAACAA